AGAATAATGTTTGCTGTGGGTTTGTTGTGTATGGCCTTTATTATGTTGAGGTAAAAAATTCCTCCTGCAAATTTTCTGGAGAGGTTTTATTATTATTATTATTATTATTATTATTATAAATGGGTGCTGAATTTTGTCAGAAGCTTTCTCTGCATTTATTGAGATGGTCATATGGCTTTTATTTTTCAGTTTGTTAATATGGTGTATCACTTTGATTTATTTGCATATATTGAAGAATCCTTGCATCCCTGGGGTAAACCCCACTTGATAATGGTGTTTCTTCCTTTCAGTGTGGTGTTGGATTCTGTCCTTTAGAACTTTGTTGAGGATTTTTGCCTCTATGTTCTTCAGTGATATTGGCCTGTAATTTTCCTTTTCTGTGATATCATTGTCTGGTTTTGATATCAGGATGATGATGGCCTCACAGACTGAGTTTGGGAGTTTTCCTCCCTCTGCAGTTTTTTAGAACAGTTTGAGCAGAGATAGGTGTTCGTTCTTCTCTAAGGCAACAACATTTCAAAGGAATGAACATTGCATGTAAGAGAGCTTTTCCACTTTTAGACTCTCGTTTATATTTACATGTACATTCTCAAAGTTCTTTTCAAAATTGAGCACCAAATACTTTGTGTTTCCAGAAACACCCATATGCCAAAATAAAATTCTTCCATTCAAAGATGAGGTGTTTTCCCTTTTTTATTTAATTTATTTGAAATGGGAGAAACTGGAGGTGTGTGAAAACCACAGTTTCCTGAGAATGCTCCAAGGCAAACACTGTGTCAACTTCAAATAAGGAAAGTTGTGGTTTCCTGCATATCTCCCAATATTGTGATGACTGTTTCTTGCAGGTGTGGAAGAGAGATTAACAAATCTCTATTTGTTAATAAAGATTGCTTAGGCCTTTAAGTTTCAAAATACCTTTACTTAAATTTAAGATGGTTGACTATATTTCAGTTCTTCTGTAAACCTCCACAACATTTTCAGTCTCTCCTCTGAAGTTTGTCACGTTCTGCTTTGGATTAGTTATTTGTACCTTTGTTTTAACCTTTTAAATTAGTGAAAGATTGTGAGCCTCAGGAGATGATATTTGTATCCTTATATGTAAGTTTTCACCTTCTCATAATAAAGCATCCTTATATATCAGTCATTCAGTTGAATCACATCTGACTCTTTGACACCCCATGGACTGCAGCACACCAGGCCTCCCTGTCCCTCAGCAACACCCAGAGCTTGCTCAAACTCATGTCCATCAAGTCAGTGATGCCAACCAACCATCTCATCCTCTGTCGTCCCCTTCTCCTCCCGCCCTCAGTCTTTCCCAGCATCAAGGTCTTCTCAGATGAGTCACTCAAATGAGCGACTGAACTGAACTGAAGTCAGATTACTTTGAGATATCTTCCAGAGCACAGAAGTAGGATTGCTAAGTAAATTCAAAGATAAAGTGATTCTTATCAAGGTAGTGTTACTTAGCATCTACACTAGATATGCAGGTACTACCACTGTGGTAAGTGGTAAGATGCAGCTATTCTGGAAAAAGAAATGCCCAGGTCATTAAAGCTCTTTGCAAGTTGTCAAAACAGAGATTTGGGAACAGTAATAAATATGGCTTTGAACAATTATACATTAATTCATTTAGTCAAAATCTATTTTGAATTCCCAGAACTTCTTATCTAAAACATGTGAAATTAACTCACATGATAAAAATAGTTACTTTCTAGTTTTTCTGCTTTACAGGTACAGTTTTTCATATATCATCAGGAATTTTCTTTGAAGTGAATTGAATTTTTAGTAGCTACGCAGGGAAAATGTACTGAAAGAAACAGTTCAAGAAAAAAACAGATGCTGTTGGAATGTCTTCTTTTCCCTTGTAACCTGAACAAAGATTCTTGTGGTGTGTATAACGTTTGTCAGGACTAGTTGTTTTTGTTGCCATTGTCGTTGTTTTCACATATAAGTGTTTTTACATAGAATTAGTCTTGAGGATTAAGAAATAGTGCCTCTGCATTGAATACCAAATTGTTTCTACTAAGCCAGAATATCTTACTATATCACAGTTCTGGAAGCACATCTACGGCATTTAGGGCTATAACCCATTGCCTCAATTTGGCAGCAAAACTGTCACGGCAGTGTTTTTCTGTTAAATTCAAGTTTTAGACATCATGAGCTTGCTTTAAAAAAAAAAAAAGTTTTTTTCTATTTTCATCAGTTTTTGGTTGATCCCCACTGAAGGTTCTTGCATGTGATATAGAGCAACATTAACTCTTTCCATTAAGGACCATATCGTAAATATTTTAGGCTTTCTAGGCCTTACAATCTTTGTCACAACTGCTGAACAATACAACTGTGACTTAGTGCAGCCATAGATAGTATGTGGATGAATGAATTTGGTTTTATGTTCCCATAAAACTTATTTTTAAAAGCAGATAGGTGAGAAACTGGCACACGAGTTAGTTTGCCAGCCACTGATTTTGAAAATCAAATACTTCTACAAGATTTGTGTGTGTGTGTGTGTGTGTGTTGTGTGTGTGTATGAGAGAGAGAGAGAGAGAGAAATGACAGTTCTCTATTGGTCATTCCCCACCTTCAATTACAGTTGATGCTTATGGAATTTACTACCACATCAGTATGTTTATATTAATACATTTTAAGCACTAGCTATTGACTTCCGGCTGTGGTTTACAAGGATTTAGATCTCTTTCCTCCTTCAGCTTCTGTGTCATATATGTACCCTCTTTATCCCTTGTCTTCCTAATATGCTTGGGTCAGATTTAGATGAGGTGAACATATAGTGATTATGTTATTTTTGCTGTGAGTCATTTAGTGAATGTTTATTACTTTTGTGTTTCTGTATAATATTTCTACTTATAGTTTGTCATTATTATGTTTATTTTGTTGATTGTCTGTGTACTCTATGTAGAACCAAATTCCTCATTGGCTTTTGAAATCTCTCAAGATATTTAATAACACTAGGTATTCTAAATATAAATCTAAATCCCCTGTCACCATCCTGAGCATTTCTTTTGCCTGGATTTCCTATTTCTCCTATCTATGCCTTCCTCACTCTTTTTGTTTCCTTCCTTATGTTAGTGGAGCCAGTAGCTTCTTCCAACTTGGCCTGTGGGAGGGTACATCCAACCTTTACTTCAGTGTTATTCCCTTTCTGTCTCCTGTGTCTCTGTATCTAAGTGTCTTCCTTATAAGGACACCAGTCATAATAGATTTAAGGCCCATCCTAAACCAGTATGCTGTCCTCTTAATTATATCTGCAATGCCCTTGTTCCTATTTCCAACTAGGATCACGTTTTCAGTTTCTTGTTAGGTATAAAATTTGAGGATAATACCATTTGACCCAAGATAAAAGGTGATGAGGCAGCAAGTGGTCCTAGCACAGGATTTGCACCAGGTCTAAAGTTGTTTTCTGAGTGATTTTTACCTAGATAAATTCTCCAAACAGAATAAATTTCAAGCAGTTACCTTGCTTTTCCTTAGGTACTCATCTGTGTTTATTACTGGGAGGAAAAAAAAGCCTTATTGGGCTATTAACAATGAGGGTAAATGTAAAGATGTTTAAAGCTGATAGCTCTGCTTTCACACACTGGTGAAATTTTTACATGCTTCAGGGAGTGTTTATTGAATACCAACTATTATCAGTTATTGTTTTAGGCACTAGGTCTACAGGAATGTGGAAGACAAAAGTCCCTGCCTCTTGTGATGTGAAGTAAATGGTGAAGAAAAGTGTTGTTTTAATTCAGATAACATTTGAGCAGAGACTTGAATACAATGAGATGATCAGCCAAGTAGAGAAGAACTTGAAAAGGGATAGCTTAAGCATCAGAAGGCAGTAAAGCTTTCATAAGTAAAGAACCCATAAGGAAGTAGCATGATCTGGTTACATTTAAACTTCACTGTGACTGCTATATGGAAAATAGTCTGTGGGAAAACAAGAGCCAGTGGAGAATGACCAGTTATGGGCTTATTATGTTGGTCCAGGTGAGAGGTGTTGGTGATTTGGTCAAAGAAAGTAAGTAGAAATGGTGATTAGTGACTGGTTCTGGATAGATTTTGCAGATGAAATCACAGGATTTGCTGAAGGATTTATTGTGAGCTGTGAAGAAAGGAAGAATGTAATGGAAGAATCATGAGTTTTAGCCCTTAATCACCAGAAAAATTAAACTTATATCTAATAAGATGGGAAAAGGTTTAAAGTTTAAGGAGAAAATCACAGCATTTTCTTTTAACATGTCAACTAGGTAGTTGGATATATGAGTCTGGAGATCAAGTTAGAGCTTGAGGTAGAAATTTGGAAGTTTCAACCACAGATGATGTTTATTTAAAGTAGTCTGAACTCTGAATTTTCTCAGTGAATAAATACTATGTGTGTGTCTGTATGTGTGTGTGTGTGTGTATACACACACACACACACACACACATCATTATATGTATATAATCCCATTTAGTCATCAGCAAACATCTACAAACTGTTGGCTATAAGCCAGGCACTGGTGAAAGGTTCTGAGAATGAAATAGTGGTATTAGTCATTCAACATAAAAATATGTAGTATTTGATCATTTTAAGTCTCTAGTAAATGGAACTTCAGGCATTATAGTAGTCATGGATTATATCACCCAGCTTAGTACTAATATGTTACTTGATTCTTTCATGTTATTTTAGTCTTCTATACTAGATTTTTAAACTCTTTGACTGCAGGATCTATATTACATTTTTTAAAATATACATGTGATGCCTACCACAATTCTGGAACAATATTAATTACTCAAAGAATATTTGTTATTGATTAAATAATTTTAACTGTCAAGAATAGTAGTATTTTTTTCAGCTTGTTATCTTTAGAATGCATTATATAGGTGAGTTATCTAGTAAGAATATTAACAAATTTCTGTTCCCTAATTCTTAACTTTTAAAAATTATAATGAGTTGCATTTTATTCACTCCTTAGTAGTGTTAGTTTTTATTCCCACGTGTTTATTATTTCAATTTGCAGCCTGATTCGACTGCGGCTGAAAGAGCAGTTGCTAGACTAGCAGTGCACCCTCTTCTGAAGAAAAAAATAGATGTGCTGAAAGGTATGAATTAAATGACTTAAGCCATTTTCAGTAAATAAATGGCCATTCATTTATTTACTTGCATGATTTTTTTTTTTACTTTTGAGGATGTTTTATATTATAAATGTCCTTTCAAATGCTTCCAAATGTAGGAAACTACCTGAAAATTTTTTATATCTAAAAAATTCTGCATTTTTTCTAAATTCCTAAATTTTGTAAATTCTTAACGTAGATAATACTCATGATAATATTAAATACAACTGACTTTCTAAATATTTTGCTGTGCTTAGTCGCTCAGTTGTGTCCAACTCTCCAACCCCATGGACTGTAGCCTGCCAGGTTCCTCTGTCCATGGGAATTCTCAAGGCAAGCATCCTGAAGTGGGTTGCCATGCCCTTCTCCAGAGGATCTTCTCAACCCAGAGATCGAACCCATGTCTCCCGTCTTGCAGGCAGATTTTTTTTACCATCTGAGCCACCAAGGAAGCCCTTTCTAAATATTGATGTAATTCATATTATTATTTACTTTGCCATTAGTCACATAATTTTTATTTATGTTTGTGTATTATAAAATAAGATGGTTACAATAACCCTATATGCAAAACAGAAAAAGAAACACAGATGTACAAAACAGAGTTTGGGACTCTGTGGGAGAAGGCAAGGGTGGGATGTTTTGAGAGAACAGCATCGAAACATGTATATTATCAAGGGTGAAACAGATCACCAGCCCAGGTTGGATGCGTGAGACAAGTGCTCGGGGGCTGGTGCACTGGGAAGACCCAGAGGGATCGGGATCGGGTGGGAAAGGAGGTGGGAGGGGGGACCGGGATGGGGAATACATGTAAATCCATGGCTGATTCTTGTCAATGTATGACGAAAACGACTACAATATTGTAAAGTAATTAGCCTCCAACTAATAAAAATAAATGGAAAAAAAGTACAATGAAAGAACTAAATGCTCTGTCACAGATTAGAAGATAATTATTTTTATGCCTGAAAGCACAATTTATAATACCCTGCAATTGTATTAATACATTATTGCTATAGAAATTAAAGTTGCCATTTTATTCATTTATATTTAGTGAAGTTTTTACTGTTCTTGACATCATACATGAAGGAATAAATTTAACTTTAGAGATTTAAAATGGATATCTCTGAGCATTTCATAAATGTTCTGGTTTTCTAAAAGTTAATAGAGTTCTTTGTGAATTTGCACTTATTATATATATGTAATTTAAATTCCAATCATTTTGTTAAGAATTTCCAAATAATTTAAGAAATACGGTACTAAAGCAGTGATGTTTTTTATTATTTGTTTCAGTGCTGAAACAAGTCATGTCCTGTTTCTCTTGCAGCTGCTGTCAAATCCTTTAAAGATGCAAGACAAAATGTTGTTGAAGATAAGTCATCAAACAGTGCTTCAAAAGAAAATCATTCCAAGGACACTTTGTGTTCAAATGATGATGCCAATAAGTTACAGCATGAAGGAACTATTATCCGTGAACAAGAAGAGAAGGAAGCCAAAATATTGGCAAAGAAACCGATAAATAATTCAAAAGAAAAAATAGCCAAGATGGATCATGGACCCAAAGCAATGGGCGTCCCAAAATCTCTATCAAAGCCTTCCGAAAAAGATTCTGCAACACCCTCAGCATTGCAGAAGATACCTGCTGACCCCAAAATGAAAGCATTAAGTGAAACCAAAAAAGTGAAAGAGTGCAGTAGCTCACTTGACGTTGAGAGTGATGGAGAAGAATTACATGAAGAAGAGAAGGAATATTTTGATGATAGCACAGAAGAAAGGTTTTACAAACAATCTTCCATGTCTGAGGATAGTGATAGTGGTGATGACTTCTTCATTGGGAAAGTCAAACGGGCACGGAAGAAGGAAAGTAGTTGTCGTTTATCAGATAAGGAACAAAACCCCCCCAAAAAATTGTTGCTTGAAGAAGATATACCTGAAACCCATAAAAATTTACAAAATGATAAAAACAAGCCACATACAGAGGCAAGGAGGCTTGAATCAGTGTTTTTCCATTCTTTATCTGGATCTAAGAACCTTGAAAGGTAAGAGTATTTTTTCATTCTGAAATAATTATTAATTCTTAATTTTTGAAAGGTGTGAAATATCTACACATCCTGACATTGAGACGGCTCTCTCTGATGCATAATTCTAGTTTGTACAGAATTTGTGTTTAGACTTGGCCCTCTCCAGCTTTATATTGGAGTAATATATACAAATACATGTATGATAATGCCAAATTCTTCCAGCCTCACCAGAAAATGAGATAATATAGATAGGTAATTTATCTGATTTAACGTCTAGCTAATTTAAGTTTATTCCTTCACTTATCAAAGTTTTGAAACTTTTGAGTTAGCTTTTGGTGAAAACTTTTGAAAATGTCTCATGTGTCTCAGTTTCTAAACAGAACTTTCTGAAAAGACTGTGGTGAATTTTTGTTTTGTTTTGTTTTTTCTCTTGTTGACCTAGAGCATTATTGTAAAACAATTGTTTTATACCTTTTCCTGTTTCAGTAGATAAGGCTGCTTGCTTGCCCTGACACCGAGTATCTCCAGACTGCTTTCTGTTTGGTGGTGCTTATACTTGGTGGTCATCCTTATCCCTTCTGTAATCACTGCTTTTTTGCAGCTGTTTTGTTGTCAATCAGTAGGTTTAATTTCATTTGTAATTCTAATGTTAGTTGGTATCTTTACATTTTAGAATAAAAATCATGGTTAACTATTTTCTTCAGTAAGCTTTTTCTATAATTTATAGGTTAGGCATAATTTTTAATAAAACAGAAAAAAAGTGATGTTGAAATTTTCCCAGAAAGTAAGAGTATGGAAAAGACACATAAACCATCTTTGAAGCCTTGAAAATTATTAAATTAGTCCTTTTAACTCCCAACTCTGCCTTCAAAAGATTTATTTTTTTTCCTCACTTGAAAATTATACACCACTATCCCTTTCTTCTCCCCAAAACTGTTAACTTAATTTTTGTTACATGTGATTCATTGCTCCAGTAAGAGGATTTTTGAAATTCTTTGTCTAAATAGTTCTCAAGCGTCCAAGGTAACCAAGATGATATTCTATAGCCAGGTCACGATAAGGATGTTGAGAGAAAGATTCCTACATGTTTCTGTGGTGATCCTGTGCTCAGTCGCTCAGCCATGTCTGACTCTGCGACCCCATGGCCTGTAGCCCACCAGTGTCCCCTGTCCATGGGATTCTCCAGGCAAGGATGCTAAAAGGGGCTGCTGATCCCTACTCCAGAGGATCTTCCCCACCATGTCTCTTGTGTCTCCTGCATTGGCAGGTGGATTCTTTACCACCCTTATTAGTGCCACCTAGGAAGCCCATAGTGATATTGGGATCTAACAAACCTTTGATGTAGCTAAAACATGGGGTTTTCATAATTTTTTTATTGTTTCTAGTCGGGGAGGTAAAAGAGCATGATAGTTTTTAAAGTGAGTTTTATCAGCATTCTTATTATGTTGTCTTCTTAAAGTCAGAGGATTTGTTTCAATATTAAATATCCTAATGGTGTTTTTCTTTTAGGAATCACAGAGAACAGGTTCCAAGAAGCAAAACCCCGGGTATGTACTAAGAACTACCTGACTTCCACATACAGTTGAGCAGTGCTTTTCCAAAGAAGAAAGAAGAAAAACTCTGGTTGCTTACTTGTTATTTAGTCATGAAGTCGTGTCTGAGACTTTTGTGTCTGAGTCTTTTGTGACCCCATGGACTGTAGCCTGCCAGGCTCCTCTGTTCATGGGATTTCCCAGGCAAGAATACTGGAATGGGTTGCCGTTTCCTTCTCCAGGGGATCTTCCCGAGCCAGGGATTGAACCTGTGTCTCCTGATTCTTAACCGCTGAGCCACCAGGGAAGCCTGGTTGCTTAGTAGTCTGAATAAATTCTATACCCACAGAAATGAAAATACAGCATCTTATAATTATCAGTATAGTTTTCTGTTTTTTTATTTTATGTGTTTTTTTTATTCTCTATGTTCTGCCAGTAGGAAAGATACAGACAAAACTTATCAGTTACGTTGAGTCTGTTTGATTTCAGTTCAGTTCAGTCACTCAGTCGAGTCTGACTCTTTGTGGCCCCATGGACTGCAGCACACCAGGCCTCCCTGACCATCAGCAACTCCCGGAGTTTACTCAAACTCATGTCCATTGAGTTGGTGATACCATCCAACCATCTCATACTCTGTCATCCCCTTCTCCTCACGCCTTCAGTCTTTCCCAGCATCAGGGTCTTTTCTAATGAGTCAGTTCTTTGCTTCAGGTGGTCAAGTATTGGAGTTTCAGCTTCAGCAACAGTCCTTCCAATGAATATTCAAGACTGATTTCCTTTAGGATGGACTAGATCTACTTGCAATCCAAGGGACTCTCAAGAGTCTTTGCCAACACCACAGTTCAAAAGTGTCAATTCTTTGGCGGTCAGCTTTCTTTATAGTCCAACAACCATGCATGACGACTGGAAGAACCATCGCTTTGAATAGATGGACCTTTGTTGGCAAAGTAATGTCTCTGCTTTTTAATATGTTGTCTAGGTTGGTCATAGCTTTTCTTCCAAGGAGCAAGCCTCTTTTAATTTCATGGCTGCAGTCACCATGTTCAGTGATTTTGGAACCCAAAAAATAAACTCTCTCAGTTTTCATTGTTTCCCCATCTGTTTGCCATGAAGTGATGGGACCAGATGCCATATCTTAGAGTGTTGAATTTAAGCCAACTTTTTCACTCTCCTCTTTCACTTTCATCAAGAGGCTCTTTAGTTCTTCGCTTTCTGCCATAAGAATGGTGTTATCTGCATATATGAGGTTATTGATATTTTTCCAGGCAATCTTGATTCCAGCTTGTGCTTCATCCAGCCTAGCATTTCACATGATGTACTCTGCATATGTGTTAAATAAGCAGGGTGATAGTATACAGCCTTGATGTACACCTTTCCCGCTTTGCAACCAGTCTGTTGTTCCATGTCTACTTCTAACTGTTGCTTCTTGATCTGCATACAGATTTCTCAGAAGGCCGGCAAGGTGATCTGGTATTCACATCTCTTGAAGAATTTTCCACAGTTTGTTGTGATCCACACAGTCAGGCTTTAGTGTAGTCAATAGAGCAGATGTTCTTTCTGGAATTCATTGTTTTTTTGATGATCCGATGGATGTTGGCAGTTTGATCTCTGGTTCCTCTGCCTTTTCTAAAACCAGCTTGCACATCTGGCTGTTCATGGTTCATGTATTGCTGAAGCCTGGCCTGGAGAATTTTGAGCATTACTTTACTAGCATGTGAGATGAGTGCAATTGTGCAGTAGTTTGAACATTCTTTGGCATTGCCTTTCTTTGGCATCAGAATGAAAACTGAGCTTTTCCAGCCCTGTGGCCACTGCTGAGCTTTCCAAATTTGCTGGCATATTGAGTGCAGCACTTTCACAGCATCATCTTTTAGGATTTGAAATAGCTCAGTTGGAATTCCATCAACTCCACTAGCTTTGTTCGTAGTGATGCTTTCTAAGACCCACTTGACTTCGCAGGATGTCTGGCTCTCGGTGAATGATCACACCATTGTGATTATCTGGGTCCATGAAGATCTTTTTCGTACAGTTCTTCTGTGTATTCTTGCCACCTCTTCTTTGATATCTTGTGCTCCTGTTAGGTCCATACTGTTTCTGTCCTTTATTGATCCCATCTTTGCATGAAATGTTCCCTTGGTATCTCTCATTTTCTTGAAGAGATCTCTAGCCTTTTCCATTCTATTGTTTTCCTCTATTTCTTTGCATGGATCACTGAGGAAGCTTTTATCTCTCCGTGCTATTCTTTGGAACTCCGCATTCAAATGGGTATATCTTTCCTTTTCTCCTTTGCCTTCTGCTTCTCTTCTTTGCATTTATGAGAGAGCCATACCTTTACTCTTATCTCTGCTCCAGGGCTAAATCTCTGTAGGTCTTTACTGCTTAAAATCTTTCTCAATCATATCTATCACAGTTTGGAGTCCAAAGGCTTTTCTAAACCTTAAATTGCCAAATATCTGTACCCTCTTTTCCCTTTTGTATCTGCCCGTGAACTGGCCAGTTCTTTCCTGAACTGTTCTCTTTTTCTTTCTAGTACTTTGCCAAAGAGCCATCAGTACACTAATCTTTTTATTCTTTCCAGACACTTATCTTGTGCTGCAGTTCCATAAGCATGTAGCCTGCTTCCCAAGTTTTAACTAGCAACAGTTGTACCTTTTCCTAACACATACATGGGATACTCACTTGCAGCCTTAGATATCGTTGCCTTACTATCTACTAAGGAACTGTAAAACCCATGCCACATTTTTATGTTATTTTAATGACTGTATTAAAGTACTAGGTTTGGCAAATACATGGCCTTATATTCACAAATACAGAATAGCTGCAAATTTAAAAATTCCCACATCTTCCTAATGAGAAGACCCAAGTAGAATGTGTTTTTGTTTTTATTTAGCTTATAAATTTATGATATTTAATTTATCCATTTATTTCCCATGCAAGTATGCTTTATATAGTTATTAAAATACATATCAGTTTAGAAATACTATCTTATTCAAATTTTAGGTTACATGAAATGGTTTCATTTAACATTTTAATTCTCCACTCTTTATCACTAGAGGCACTCTTGGAGTATTAGACTTCTGGAGCACATGTGATTTGTACAAGATATGGGATGTTTTGAGTCTGTGTGCAGTGATCTTTTGGAAATGTTATCCCAATTGTACACTTGTTTCAACAACATTATAACATTTGCTTTTTAAGATCTTTAAAAGACTTCTTGGCAATGATCACTAACTAGCAGTGGAGAAATTATGTACCCCTAGGACTGATTAATAAATTGGTATTAAATTTTTTGCCTTGTCTTTCTGATCCTATAAATGTGCATTGATTCAGTCCTTCCAGGCCCGTATGTCTCCCAGTACTTTGTTCAAAATAATGTAATAGAAGTTTCTTATAATGAAAGAGGTAAGAGCTAGATTACAAATTGCCGCCCTCATATTTGGTGGATAACTTTATGGTTCAAAAAGAACAGTGTCTTAAATTTGAGTAGATATAGCAGTTACTTTGCAGTCACATTTTTTGTTCAGTAACAGAAGGGAGTGGAATCAATTAATAGCCCTTTAAATAGCTCACCCATCAACACTGTTGAATTCAATATTTTAGTTAAAACATGTGAATTTTCTGGCTGCATTGCTCCACACAGAGATATCATATGCCAGTGAATCATACTCCTTTAAAAATACAAGATACTCCCCTTTTAAAATTTTGTTTCCTTATGTGTTGTCTGGACTGTGTTTCCTTTCTTAATGTAAAAAGATAGAACAGCTTATACTAGGAGGCCTGCAACAGACATCTATTGACAATGGTTAGAAAGCATGTGTCCCAAAATTCACTGGCCATGTGTATTTCAACTTCAAACTTCCCAGTAGGGCTTAGATGTTTTATTTTTGTGTGAGGTATTCTACTTAAGTAAAACTAAATTTCTTCCTTAAATACTGGTTTGAGAAGATAAAATGTTTTTGTCTTCTATGCTATTTATGTATAGACTTAGTTTTCATTAATTTTGTTTTCTCCTCCAGATTTTCAGCACATTGAACCTCAGATCAAGAATCAGTTTAATAAAAAAGCACAAAGAGGATTTGAAAATACAAAACAGAAATCACAGCTGCCTCTTCATCCTTCATGGGAAGCAAGCCGGCGGCGAAAAGAAGAGCAATCCAAAATTGCTGTGTTTCAGGGGAAAAAAATTACCTTTGATGATTGATCAGTACTATATTTTTCTTAACTTCTCTGTCTAAATTTGATTTTCTTCTTATTTTTTAAACTAGCTCATTATTTAAATATATATTTAAGTCAGTCTCTGAATGGGTTATACAAATGAGTTGGTTTTGTCTTTTTTTAAGTGTGTTCGTGTTATGTTTAAGCTTCTGTAGATCAAGTACATACTTAATTTTAAATATGTCTAGAAGACTGCTGTCCCTCTATAAAAGAATTTTGAGATGATAGCTATCTCAGATTTTCTCATTTGGTTTTATCATGAAGTGTATTTCACTAGGTTAGCTCTGTGTTTCTTTACTTTGAAAATAAATGTTGAGTGATATTTGGAATAACAATGGAAAAATATGAGGAAAGTGTAGCTATTTAAAACAGACTCTTTACTGAGTTACTCTTGTTAGCAAAACTAAGATAACTTTTATTATGGGTATACAGATAATAAGTTATATAAGTAAATATTAGTTTTTATTATAGCTTTAATTATTTGTAATTTTTTAGTTTTTGACTGTTTAAAATAGTTTCCCAGGAAAATTTTGGATTTCTGAATTATGTTTCAGTTATTTGGGCAGCATTCATGTTCAACTGTTGCAACCAACCAAAAATTGGTTTTACTACATATAAAATTTCTGTCAAATCACAAATGTATAACATAACATTAGACATGTGTTCTTTATAGAAACAGTTTTTGAGGAATCATAGGTTTGGAATTTACAAGAGCAAATTCTGAAGGAGATACGATTACAGAAGCATTTTCACTGATAGCTAAGCAGAGGTTATAACTCACTGAAGAAGGGACTGCTTTATATTTCATAGTACTGTTATTTAAAAGGAAAACAGAATTTTTAAAATCTCTTCAAATGTTTGACTTCTTGCTACTGGGAGAAATTAAAGTTCTTGGTTAACTAAGTAACCAAAAAAGTTAAAAAATGTTTCTATTCCTACCCAGATTTAGCCAAACCATGAAGTTGAGAGCACTATTCATCGACCCAACACTTCTAACCCCAAATTCAAGGAGTTAGGGTTTGGCCACACAAGACTACTCACTTCTGACACCAACTGCAGGTTTGGAGATTGCAGGGGAGGGCTCCCCAAATACTGCAGATTCAAAAATTTGCTTGCAGAACTCACTAAAACCTATTATATTCCTAGTTACAGTTCATTATACAGTTTAGCGACTGAACAACAGATAGTTCATTATAAGGAAAGAGTACAGACTATAACCAGCCAGAGGAAGAAATGCATAGGGCAAAGTCTGTGAGGGTTCTAAAAGCAAAGTTTCTCTTGTCCTCAAGTTGCATTGCCATCCTTGCATCAATGTGTACAGTGTTGCCAATCTGAAAAGCTCACTCCAATTTTAATGTCCAAATTTTTATTGTATCTTTCATATATAGACATGCTCAGTTGATTGCCCATGTGATTGTTTCAGATGGACTGATAATATCATATGACCGGAAGACTCATCCTAAATGACATGGTAGGTCTTTTTTAGTGCAGCCAACCCCTGCTCTAAACAAGGACACTCCTACGAGGTGTGACGTGGAGTGCCTCTGTGAAGCTGAAGGCGAAGGCGGTTTCTCTCTGGGCAAGGCCAGGTTCTTTACTGCACAGCATCTGTCACCCGAACTCCCCCAGTATTAGCAATTTTTCTGTATCTGCTTTATCTTTGGCTCTCATACTCCCTTCTCTCCTCCTTTTTTCCTTCCTTTTCCCCTTTCTCCTTCCTTTTTTATTATCTTTATCCCTTCATCTCTCTTTTCCTCATTTTATCCCTGTCTCCCTTTCCATCTACTCTCTTCCTCTCATCCTTTTATCATTTCTTCTATTTCTCTACCCTGTTTGTAGCTTCTCTCTAAAAACAAGTCATTCTCTGTTCTTTTGTATTACCACAGTTCAGTTATCAAATATTAAGATTTTGCCAATTGTCCCAGTGTCTTTTTACAGCAACAGAAAAATCAGCATCAAGCCTTACATCCAGTGGTCACCTTACATTCAGTTATCTCTCTTTGGTTGGAAACAGTACCTCAGTCTCTTAGGATTTCATGACATCGACCTTTTTCAAAAGTGCAGATCAGTTATTTTGCAGTGTCCTTTTATTAGGGCTTGTCTAATACATTTTCATATTCAAGTTATGCACTTTTGGCAGGAATGTTGCAGAAGGAATGTTGCATTTGTCCTGTTGCATCATATCTGAGGTTAGGTGATGATGTTGATATGGCTGGGCCTTTACTGGTGGTGTTAACTTTGCTTACTTGTTTTAAGTGGTATTTATATGGTTTTTCCACTGCAGGATTACTATTTTCTCTTTGTAATGAATAATTATCTTATGGGGAGATACTTTGAGACTCTGTGGAACTGTCTTGAAACTTTCATGCACTAGTTTTAACATTCATTCATAATTCTTACCGGAAATAATTATTGCTATAGTAGTTTAAATTATGATTTTTTTTTTATTTCGGTTTTTCTACACTTATTAGATGGCCTTTTAGAATAAGGGAGAATCACATTTTCTCCTATTAATTGAGCTTTTAAATGTATTTCAGTATTATCTCATGGGTACTTCTCTTTTCTCCTTTTCTATTACTTTTAATTAATTGGCTATTTTTAATTCATTTTATTGATTATTGGATTATAAGATTTATTATAGTATACATCTCAAGTAGTATTTATACCATTTTACATATGGTCCAAACACCTTACTGTAGTAAATGTTACATTTCTCCCCAAGCTTTTGTACTATTGTTTATATACATTTTGCTTCTACACTTAACCCTGTAGTGCATTGTTATTGATTTTACTATAATTTCTGTTTGTCTCTGTATCATGTTTATGTTTTTCTCTACTTCCTAGAACAGTAGTAGCTGTTTTAATGATCTTGTCTGCAGTGATTCTCTTGGGGCAGTTTGTACCAACAAGGTATATTTGGCAGTATCTAGAGATATTTTGAATGTCACATCTGGGGAAGATGTTGCATCTAGTGGATATAGGCCAAGGATGCTGCTTACTTTGGTTAATGGAAGCCCGTTCAAGTTGTTTCCTGTATTTTTTTTGGCATGTAAGTCCTTTCTGTAGTAATGAGGAAGGTGGTTTCTTAGTTTCCACAATATATTTATTTTCTCAGCCCCAGAGTACACAGAAGTTCAGTTCAAAATTGCTGGTTGATACCTCTGCAAAACACAAGTATATTAGCCAAACTAATTTATGTTTGAAGTTCTTTTTTTCTTTAGCCTGAGGGCGTATGGTTTCAAAACTAAGTTTGCAAGTCATCTGGGATATTGTTAGCAAAAATGGCTGACTAAGGACATCCAAAAATTACCTTTCTTCTTTAAAAGCAGTGGAGAAAGCTGTCCATAGTGTCAGAATTGATGTTTTCAGAACTGCAGAATTAACCAAAAGCTTACTGAGGGTTGTTATTTATTAAAAATGGCTGAAAATTGATACAGAGAGTATCTTTGTAACATTTTAACCTGCTCTATTCTCATCCCCCACTCCCCAAGTCCATGGTGTCTTGAAAATCAGCAGCCCACAAACATGATGAAAACCTGCAGCCTGACAGATACTAGAGGCACCAGAAAAAGGTTGGAACTTTTTCAGACACATTCCCTGAGAATTATCTTTATTTGACCAGTAAGGTAGTTCACTGGAAGACCCCATGGCAATTCTGTCTTTATCTAACTTGGCTAAGAGCTTACCCAATGTGAAAAGCCTTTTTCCTGAGATCACTTTTTGAAATCAGTTAGAGGCAGCTGTTTAACATCACAACTTCCAAAGGCAGTGAATAACAGTTGGGGAAGACAAGAAGTTAATCAAACAGCTTAAAAGGAAATCTGGAAAATTCACTATCCTTAGGAACTTTGATGAGTTTTGACATATTTCCTGGAATTAAGAAAGTCATGTGAATGACAGAATTATGTGCATGTTCAGGAAAGTGCTGAGAAGGCCCTAAACCCTCACTTCAGGTTGACTTTGGGAGCTCTACATAAGTGGGAAGTGATGGCTAGTGTGGAAATGTCAACTTCCTGGCCAAGTGTTGAAGGTGTATCCCAACAAAAGGCTCTCAACAAAGTTAGTGAAGTATCAATTCCAGGCATTAAGGGAATCTGTCCAGTTATTAGCATACCACTAAGCAAATGATTTTTTGGGCTCCAAAATCACTGCAGATGGTGGTTGCAGCCATGAAGTTAAAAGACGCTTACTCCTTGGAAGGAAAGTTATGACCAACCTAGATAGCATATTAAAAAGCAGAGATATTACTTTGCCAACAAATGTTTGTCTAGTCAAGGCTATGGTTTTTCCAGTGGTCATGTATGGAGGTGAGAGTTGGACTGTGAAGAAAGCTGAGTGGTGAAAAATTGATGCTTTTGAACTGTGGTGTTGGAGAAGACTCTTGAGAGTCCCTTGGACTGCAAGGAGATCCAACCAGTCCATCCTAAAGATCAGTCCTGGGTGTTCATTGGAGGGGCTGATACTGAAGCTGAAGCTCCAATACTTTGGCCACCTCATGTGAAGATTTGATTCATTGGAAAAGACCCTGATGCTGGGAGGGATTGGGGGCAGGAAGAGAAGGGGACAACAGAGGATGAGATGGTTAGATGGCATCACCGACTCGATGGACATGAGTCTGGAGTAAACTCCAGCAGTTGGTGATGGACAGGAAGGCCTGGCATGCTGCGATTCATGGGGTTGCAGAGTTGGACATGACTGAGCAACTGAACTGAAGCTAATGAAGCAGAGACTTTAGTGACCATATACAACAAAGAATACAGATTTCACAAAAATAGTTAAGAAAAGTCACTAGACAAACAGCAACAAAAAATAGCAACAACAAACCCTAAGGAGAAGAGAATACCTGATTTCTAGAGTTGCAACATATATTATTATTTAAAATGTCTAGTTTTCAACAGAATGTTGTCACATATACACAGTGTATGGCTCATATACAAGGAGAAAAAGCAGTCTATAGAAACTGTCCGAAATAGACCCAAACTTTGA